GGGACAAAAGATCAAGATACAAAGTGATAACTAAATTAATGGTAAACCTGCATACCTGGTCCACTCTTTGTTAATTATGTATAGGTATGCCACACCTGGACTGACTCTTTTATTGCCAAAACAACAGAGATAAGTTTTACAGGTGTGCTACAAGAAAATCCTATCCCAGACAAATTCCTGGTCTTTGTTGCCATGTCAATTAAGTAGTAAATTTGCAGGACAAAGCAGGGATTTACAAAAGACCCTCTTAGTAAAATCTCAACAATCCAAACTCCTGGATTTCTGAAAACAGGATTTGCTAGGATCACATGGTTTTCACAACTTGTATTGTGTGAGCATGTGTAAACAACTCTAACCTAACCCAAGTCTGACCACACAAAACTTTGGAATACAGGTAGGCTCTACATGATTTCTCAAATTACTGAGATTCTCTATTTTGATTTATTTTACTTTCTTATACACGATTCTTGAAAGCTTCTGGTTTAATAAGATCTAAACCAACCTATATTGTGTTTTGTTGCTAAATAATGAAATGAAAATATCCTGAAAGTCTCTGTATTACATTTGGTGAAGGTTATAATTTGAAAACTGCACCAATGTGATGCCGGAGGGCTGTCATGGTAACACAACAACAGACTTCTTTATTTCAGTATAATACTAAAATTTCAATTAGATTTGAAGAATTTTTGTTCAATTTGATATTTGACCATCTGAGACTTAATTGAAGTTATAAAGGTATAGTTTGCATTTTCTATAAAATTCTGAATTGTGAATGTCACTTAAGATCCTTGGGATCTAATTGTGTGCTGATCATATTATACAATCTGCACCAATAAGATGCCAGGTGATGTTGTGTGGTAAATCTGGAGTCACACAAGTGAATAGAGCATAAAGGAAGTATCTTCCACATGTTTCTATCCCTTTGGAATAAAATGCTTTAATCAAGATAATGAAAATGTGTTTGAAATTGAGTGTGTAGTACTTTCACCAATAACATACAGAGGTTTAACAGGTAATAAGAAATAAAAGTGCTGACACCTTGTATCTGTAATGTGCATGTTGTTACACAAAGCAAGCACTTACAAATGCTGGGGGTCAACATCGAACTCCTGACTGACTTTTCCAGTGTAACTTGCTAGACAGATGACGATGAAATATATCAAATAAATTTCTTTTGTGATTTTTTTACAATCTTTAGATGCATGCTTTATAAACAAAACATTGTATTCCAGTTGATCAATGATTTTTGAGTTCTTGTTTGATTTCAGTTTTGCAAATATTTGATAATGATGTGCTATTTTCGAAGACCAAACTGCCCAGTGTTTCCCATTATTTGTAGAGTGATAGTGTGTTAACAAAACTAGCACTTACAAATGCTGGGGAATACTGCCAGTTATACTTCTGGTATATAACAGACTAGCCCATTGGTTTAAAGAATTCAGCTTTTCCGATTTTCTCGATGGCTGTTAAAGCTGTCTTAAGTTTTATATATAAAATAAGAATAAAACATTTCTATTAAATTAATTAATTTAGATAACAATGGTGTTGATTTTGTACTGTTTAATAATAATACAGAATAAATCTAGAAAGTTACTAATTAACATTTATTTTTCATTAATTTTCATAGTTTTTCCAGAAAAAAGTCTTTTCGTTATTTCTTCACAAATACATAATATCTAGAAATGAAAAAAGATATGAAAAAACAAATTACGGCTTTTCTCTATGAAAGATTTGGTTAAGGTATGGAACATGCTGGAAAGATTACACAACCTATAGTCAATGTGATAATGGTAGCTAATGCTGGTAGAAGGACCTGGGGTGTTCAGTAATTAATTCACAGGGGTTCTCTAGCCAACACTTACATGGCTGCGAGATAAGATTACAGCCTATAGACAGATCACAGTCACAATAGATCCCTGCTGGTCCCTAGCATCAGATTTGGGCTTGTGTATCCTAGCAACAAGCACTTACTGATGCTGGGGTCAGACTGAGGAATATTCTACATGGCTGTCAGTCTAGACTCTTAATCATACCATTACCACTGATAAAAGACTAATTCTTAAATCATAACCTTGCTTGCTATTTTAAGAAATATACCATTTTTGAAAAAAAAAGACCCAAAAATCTGCAGAATTAATCCTGATTATAGAATGGAATAAATTTCTTGTATAAAGATTCCTATATGCCTTATTCACCTTACTTGGTATGTTTAAAGCGTATTTTCAACACAAAGTTTTTTCATTGTGATATTAAAACTCTTTTCAGAATCAGAATTAAAAATCTATATTTTATAGGGACATTTTCATCAGGGTTGATTTTTTTTGATATGCTGTATTGTGCAGGGAAATTCAGTATAAAAATAGAGTGTTATAAAAACTAACAAACTACACATGTGGTCAGTCTTAGATGGCAATTAAGTAATCACTTGACCTACAAAAGTCCTCTTAAAGCATTTATTTACAAATAAAAACATACTAAAAGGTAAAAAAAAAAAATGCAATTTTCACAAACATTTATCTTAAGAATTTGAAACCAGTAATGTGAACATCACGTTTTAAAATAAAGGTTTTGACCAATCAGGGTAAAGGGCTTTATGATTTCCTGTTCATATGATCAGTTGGTGGTTGGGGAAGTACATGAACTCTACTGCAATGGCAATGGTGATTTCAAATAATTGAAAGCATTTTGGCCTTAAAAAAATATGACTGTTATATGTGATTTTGTCTTTTAATACAAGATAATGTCCAGTTTTCTACAAATACTGTTTGAGATGTGTGATATGTAATCATAATAATGGTAAGACAGTGAGCCGACACATCCAGCACACTGAAGCATATACAGTAAATCTTAAACTTTTATCTCGGTGATAAGACAAAAATGGATGAAAGAAGCTGCAGGGAACAGGAAACCCACCACCTTCCCAGGATATGTGATGTGCTGGTGAGATTATGAATACTAGCACTTACATATGCTGGGGATATAATGGGTGCTTAGCAACAAGACTTATACTGACACTACAGGGCTTCTAGTGTCTCTATGACTACTAGGCTTCTACTGCCTCTACAACTACAGGGCTTCAACTGTCTCTACAACTACAGGGCTTCTAGTGTCTCTACAACTACAGGGCTTCTAGTGTCTCTACAACTTAAGGGCTTCAACTGTCTCGACTAACTAGAGGTTTTCTAGTGTCTCTACAACTACATGGCTTCTACTGTCTACAACTACAGGGCTTCTAGTGTCTCAACAACTACAGGGCTTCTACTGTCTACAACTACTGGGCTTTAACTGTCTCCCAACTTTTTGACTTCTACTGCCTCTACAACTACAGGGCTTCAACTGTCTCTACAACTACAGGGCTTCTAGTGTCTCTACAACTACAGGGCTTCTAGTGTCTCTACAAACACAGGATGTCTACTGTCTAGGGCAAAGTCAGCAAAAAAGAAAAGAATACAAAAAACATAATCTAAAACAATAGATGTCATAGTGTTAGCTTAAACTACAAATTGTGTATCAACTTCTTTAACATAAGAGACTGATGGTCAGCAGATTTATTATCCGAAATTATTGAACCATTGTTTCTTGATCTTCATGTATTTATACTGGAAACAATTTATATTTTTCATGGATTTGTGGAGAGATGTATTCATTTTATCCATTGAATAATTAACTGATTTAAACTACCAAACTTTCAAAAAATAAGAGTCTGCATCCGGTAAGTGTAAGTCACTGATTCACCTTCATAAAATATGATATATTTGAGGTATTTTTTGGCTAGCTGTTTGGTATTTAATCTGATTGGGCATGTGGAATTTGCATTTGAGCTAGTAAAATTTTAGACCCCTGTAAAGGTATTTTTAAAATCTGTCCTGAATGGGTACTTAGTGTTGATTTTAGTCACTTAGGCTGCTTTTGTGAAACCCAGTTGAAACAGTTGGGGTGGTCTGGAATTATTCTATGATACACGAAAATGCACATGTACTAATGTTGGAACTGATATATGTAAAGTTCAAAATGCACAATTTCAGAATTTCCTGTCAAGTATAAAACAATGAACCAAAAATAAAATACCAACCAGTTTAAGTCATACTTAATAACATAATGCTTCTGGAAATATGTGTGTGCACCAACCCTGCTTCAAGGCAAAAATCTGAAAACTTACAATATTCAGCAAAGCTGTTTCAGACAGGTATCTCTGAACCCTTAAAGTTGCAAGTGCCAAACATTCAACAATCCATCCTTGATTCCGACCTCTACCTTGTTTCATGCATGTTCAACTGTTCCCACCATTTCAACTGCTTATTAAAAGCCACCCTTTTACATTTTTTACTGATGTCTTGTAAATTAACTGTAAAAGTTTTTGATATTGCCCTGTGTCAGTGCTTGATGTTGCCCTTTAATTACCTGTATGGGTTTTTGATGTTGCCCTGTATTGGTACTTGATGTTGCCCTGTATCAGTGCTTGATGTTGCCCTTTAATTACCTGTATGGGTTTTTGATGTTGCCCTGTATTGGTACTTGATGTTGCCCTGTATCAGTGCTTGATGTTGCCCTTTAGTTACCTGTATGGGTTTTTGATGTTGCCCTGTATTGGTATTTGATGTTGCCCTGTATCAGTGCTTAATGTTGCCCTTTAATTACCTGTATGGGTTTTTGGTGTTGCCCTGTATTGGTATTTGATGTTGCCCTGCATCAGTACTTGGTGTTGTCCTGTATTGGTACTTGATGTTGCCCTGTATCAGTACTTGGTTTTGCCCTGTATCGGTACTTGATGTTGCCCTTTAATTACCTGTATCAGTACTTGATGTTGCCCTGTATCAGTACTTGATGTTGCCCTGTATCGGTACTTGATATTGCCCTGTGTCAGTACTTGATGTTGCCCTTTAATTACCTGTATGGAATTTTGTTGTTGCCCTGTATCGGTACTTGATGTTGCCCTTTAATTACCTGTATGGAATTTTGGTGTTGCCCTGTATTGGTACTTGATGTTGCCGTTTATTTACCTGTATGGGTTTTTGGTGTTGCCTGTTGTCTGGCGTGTGATGGAATCTTTGAACACCTGTCGTCTATAGATTTTCTCCTCCACTGTACCACATGTAATGAGGCGATAGATGACCACATTTTTGTCCTGACCAATACGGAATACCCTGTCTACAGCCTGAGCATCTGTTGCCGGATTCCAACTTGGATCAACTGATAAAACAAGAAAACACATTAAAATGGACCAGGTTGTATGTATGGGGTAAATATTTCAAGTAATGTGTGTGATTCACCCTCTCATTGGCCTTCTTATAGAATCTAACCCATAAAATACATAGAGAATACATGGCCAGTATCTTAAAATATCAGCTGTATTTTGGTGAGGGAGAAGAGACAAAAGTGGTGAGCCATGGCAAGCTACTTTTGTCTTTCTGTCCTGAACCAAAATACAGCTTATATTTTCAGACACTGACCATGTGTTCTCTTTATCCTGCAGCATTGATTGAAAATCAGACTATTGAAACAAACAGATTTGTTGTTTAATCTGTTTTTACCTGATGTTGACGTTGCAATGAATTGTGTGGAAATATAGTTCCAAACGTCATCAGACATAAAAGCGATTTATGAATTTTAATAAATCAGTATGTTCATTACAACTTGTAAAATCACCTATTTCGACAACTATTCATATTTCTAAACATAATATTTAAGTAAATTCAGACAGTAATTATGTGGAATTACCACACATGCTGAAATATAGCTGTTTCTGTCACTGCTGAATACAGTAAAAATATATGTGGCAGGTCTATTCCGACAACACCAGTGCCAGTTGCAAGATAAAGAGATACATCTGAGATTGAATAAGTGAAAATTGCTTTAAATGAACCAAAATTCTTGAATGGGTTATTTCTAATTTTCAAACTTTATGAAAATTTCATATTTCACCTACTATTTCCAATATTTGAATCACTACTAGAATGTTTATCATAGTTTGGGTTGTACAACTTTTGATCCAGCTATATAGGAAGTGTGACAGCTGTTATGTAATTACTCTTCTGCAGTACCTGAGCTACAGGCATATACATTCAGTCTCTAAATTGGGAGAAAACAAAATAAAATATTTGTCTTGTTTTTTGCTTCTGATGACGAGACAATCATATAGTATTTCTCTAATTTTTAATTTGTTAATTTTATTCAGATTTTTAAATCTCTGCACACCCATATCTGATGACAAGACGTCAAGGAAGATAGAGATATTTCTGAAGGGTACAGGTATATAATTAGTCCATTTCACAATAAGAGTGCTGTGGACACAATATACGTCGCCACAAAATATAAAGATCAAGATTGGTCCTTTTAATTATCGCTTTTAACATGTCTGTATACATAAGCTCACAAAGAAGTCCACTAAGAGCAAGCTACAGATACAAAGTTGAAAATGGCATAACTCTTACAAAAATCAACGAACAAAAAAATTGCCCCTTTATACACACCTACCTATTGTAGTTGTGACATTGAGCAAGTTTCATGAAAATCTGATGATTATTTTAGGAGGAGTTGTGTTCACAAGAAATGGGCGTACGGACGAACGGAGAGACGGAGAAGATGACGCCAATATACTACCACCTACAGCGGCGTTTAAAAATTGCAAAATAAGTTATTCCCACTAATATCAATCATTCTTATTATCCCAGATAGAAGCACAAAAGCAGTCTTATTGTGGGAGAAAAACAGAGGACCAAGGAAAAAAACATGTAGGCAGGCCTGTGACTCCATACATTTTAATGTTTGGGAAATTGAACCCTAGGAACTTTGGTAAAACGAGACGGCTTTACCACCGTGCCACCTGACCGTACATCTTTCGGTATTGTAAGCCATCTCTTATTTCAAGTAAGGCTATATATAATGTTAAAAATGTCCCTTGGATATGTGATGTCATTATAGGAAATTAGATATGTATCATAAACAATGATTTGTCAGTACTTACAGATGATCACACGATCTGCTGCTGTTAGCGTCAGTCCCACACCACCGACCTGAAATAATTTAGTAGTAATGAATGAACCACATGCATAAGTGTTCAAAAATTAGGAGTATCAACATTCTAGATTTGTAATTCTTAGCAGAATTATACTGAAGTCTTGCTGATTCTGTTTTGATATGCAAAAATGACATTTAAAGACAGAAAAAAAGAAAATTTCAGTAGTCCATTTCAAAATTTTGAAGGGATTTTTGTCACGTCTCAAAATCTACCAAAACTTCCTGTTTGTCATCTAAAATAGAACCATAATAATCCAAATTTCTTTTGCCCTGGTTGGAGTAATTCATCTTAATATGCAACTATCAGGTATTCACAAATCTGGTTGCTGCTGTACATGCAATTTCAGAGCACTTTTTCCCAAATGTTGGGTTGAAAAATTCCTTTTGGAATTGACCGAGTATCACTGTATATCAAACCTGTGTGGTAAGTAAGAAAAGTGTGTAACTGGTATCAGTCTGGAACTTGTGTATCCTCTGGTCTCGCTCACTTATGTGAATCACTGTGCCGTCTAATCTCATCACCTTATGACCCTGTCATTAATAGAATTAAGTCTAATTTAAACTTGTGTAGGTTAAACTTCAAAGTATTTAAAAAAAAGTCATATTTTAACAATATTTGAAACACAAACCCAGATAAAATTATTCCATCACATTCTTTCATTTCAGATATTTTCAACCCACTCTCCTTTAAAACCTAACAACATGATGAATAACAGGTAATGCTAAAAACCCAGGACCAAATTAATAGTTCATTTTGAAACACATTTTGTAATATATATGTAATACATGTATGGGGTGAATAGGATTTTTAACAAAAAAATAATTCAAATCCTTGATTGCTTGAAAACTTACAGTCAGTTGCACTTTAGATTTTGCCTTAATTAACAGTGGTCATAAAAACAAAAGGTACCAGATTTTTAAAAACAAAAACCAACAATATTCCAAAGTATAAGATTTTGAACATGCTAAAGTCATTTGGATTTACTCTGTAAATATACTTTTTTGGTTTAATTTACAATAAATGGTGTATGAACAACATGCAAAAACTGCATTTAGCATAATCATGTGTTAGCGCAACATCTTAAACCACTAAAACATATGCATTTACTGTTTGATTGCTAAAATTTACGTATATAGAGACATGTGTAATTACCAGAGATTATGTCACCTTTCAATATATAGATATGATTAAGAAAAAGTCACTAAATGAAATTTATTCTGATTTGCTAAATCCCAAAGAGTTGGATAAATCACCTGTGACATTTTGGATTAGTTCAGTGTAACTTCCTGAAACTAATCCTTCTACTACCAACCACATCTTGATACTGAACGAAATGGTAAAGATTTTATTTATTACAGTAATGGAAAACCTCCCAAAACAGATCGTTCTTAATCCTGAATACCAAACCAACTTTGTGTACAAAATGATATAATGTATGGGGTGAATCCTGAATACCAAACCAACTTTGTGTACAAAATGATATAATGTATGGGGTGAATCCTGAATACCAAACCAACTTTGTGTACAAAATGATATAATGATAAAAGAATACACCAGATCATCCTATATCGCGGTAAACAATCCAGAAGAACAGAAACATGGATATTGGATTTACGAAAAATGCATAATCCCATCAAATCAAATATAGCTGTTTTCCAACATGTCCTATCAATGACAAGTTTCCAAATTAAACCTTGGTCCCTACCCTGTTTGTGGTGACTTTTTCTATGATGTCTAGTATCTTTCGTGACTGCGAGAAGATAAGGGTGCGGTGTCCCTCTGCTTTAAGCTGGGTAAGCAGCTGGATGATAAAGATGAGTTTACCGGACTCATTGATGAGTGTACTGTCATCGATGTTGTGGATCTCTGTGGCAGCACTGCTCAATCCTTCCTCTGACTCCAAAAGAGAGTTATCCATCCTGTATGGGAAAAAATCTCGATATCAGAAATCACGATTTTCCCATAATAACAATAATTGCATGTAAAATATGGAAAATGAAACCACTGTGTAATACTACTCATAAAATCACCTGGTATAAGAACTCCAAACTCATATTTCACAAATTTGTCAATGTACAATTTTTTAAGAAAGGAAAATTTAGCTTTTTCCAACTCATAGACAAAATTTTGTTTTCATGTAAACTTACGCATCCTCTCCATCCAGTCCAAGCTGGGCACATGCTCTTTTTGTTAGAAGACGAGGGTGATCAGTTATCTTTTTCAGTACAGTCAGTGCTACCAGGGGTGATTTCTTCGTCATAAGCAGCTTAAATAGCATGAGAGAATAGTTTCAAAAGTTATCATACATAAAGTATGCAATGTGCAAGTAAATATTCAGGTAAAAGGTAATTCAACTTAAGGCATCACAAGTGATACAAATATCTGTACAATTACATCTTGACTGATGATGCACCTACAGATCTGAAATGCTATCTGAAGCAAGCACTTTCACTAGGTGAAGATTATATGATCAGCTGTTTGTCTAAAGGTGAAAGGTCAAAATGGAAAATGGAAACTCAATTTCCAAACAATAATTTTATCAGCTCAATGGGAATCCAAATTATAGTGTAGAAACTGATTTTCAAATTTTTCAGTTTTAGCAATTTTGACCTTTCATCTTCAGATGTAAACACTTTTAGTAAACTTGGGTTTGATTGGCCTTCTTATAAATATATATATATATAGATACATACATATTAGACCTAAAATCACAAGCAACCACTATCATGGAGGAAGCACTGTATAAAGCTCAAGACTGATCAGCTCAACAGGACGAAGTTATTGAATGGAAACCTTAATCTAATGACACTGGGGTAGTGACTCACCTCCTTGACAGAGTCCAGTGACAGGAAGTCTTGGTATATCTGCTGCTGAGTCCGGGTAAGGAACAGCCACACAATGAAGTCATTCTTCCTTGTCATCGTAGGCATCCTAAATCAAAATACAGTCAAACCTGTCTTAAAGGTCACCTTTATAAACAGACCACATGTGTATAAAGTCCATTTTCTCTGTTCCCTTGAGTGCCCTTTATAGACAGGTTTGAATGTGTAGCTACATATATGGTTTACAATATCTATAACATTAAAGAAACATCACAAGTTATAATACAAATCTGACCATCACAGCGACATGTAATTGTAACATGAAATCTAGCCAATCATTTTGAAGTTTCATTGATAAAATTATGTCCTTTAAGGAGATAAAGTAAACAGAAACTGAACTGTTCTCCATTTCTTTTGAAAAATTTATCTTTATTTTGCAGATTTTTTTCACTGCTTTTCATTCAAACTAAAATGTACTATGCTTTAAAACAATGGACTAACGCAATAACATGTGGAATCATATATTTTGGTATATAGTTTTACTTAAGCTTGACTTCCATACTTGATTTGTTTCTGTTCCTGGCCATTTTCTTCCCCTTCGACCGTGTTATCATCAAGGTTTCGTTCCTTTTTAGCCACTTCAGCCTTCGTTCGTCGCAGAAAATATGGTGCAATTATATTTTTCAAGCTGTCTGCCATCATCATCCCTAGATGTCTTTCACCTGCTGTAGCATCTCGCTCTCTTGCCTGAACAAATTGACAGCAATTTAAATTTCCTAAAGGTGGTGAATATTGTTCATCTACAGGTGGCTGTTATCGTTAAATTTTGTTTGTTACGACTACTTTAACTTTAGATTGGCTGTTACAGCAAACTTTTCTGGTACATGAAAAAATATTAAAACAGAAACAAAGTTTTAAATCATTACTGAGATAGACTGAAATCTTTATCTGATACAAATTTTCACTCAGCCTGATTTCATACTCTGACACATACCCTTGTAATGGGAGTATCATACTCCATTTTGAAGGTTCTTGCTGTTCCCAACAATGCCCCCTTGTGGACAAAATCAAACAGGGCCCACAACTCCTAAATTAACAGAAAATAAATATTTTAGAATACAGTAGAAATCATCACAAAGAGTTATGTACAGACTATAAATTAAACCTGGTTAAGAAATGTTTTTAGAAGATTTTTTCAGCAGGTTGTAGTTCAACAGAGATGTATGAATTATGGAATATTTTGATTTTTTCCCGAAGTCGTCTATATCAATGCAGCAACTCTCTGTTTTTAGAGTAAAATCTTCATGTAACCTTGTTAGATTGTTTTACAGAAACATCAATGAAGCCACCTTCTTACAATATATGACAAGGACACACAGAATTATTATCAAAGGCCTGAAAGGCCTGTAGGTCGAACAGATTGACGTTCATAAAAATGCTACATAAACCAAGAAACTAGAACTTGAGATCCATTATGATAATTTTACTGAAATACTTTTCATCTTATCTCCAGATAGAAATAAATTTAAACGCATTCCTGTCACAGTTCAGTTCAGTAAAATGATGCAAAATTATCAAAAGATCATGAAATAACATGAGCGTGTAATAAAGTTCCATGTGATATGTCATCTGCTTGTTCATAGCGTCTTCATCCTCAGGAAATATTATCATCTGGAGATGACACATCAGTTTTGATTTAAAGAATTGTGTGATAAGGGGCTGATTTTTCATCAATTCATTTTGGACAACCCTCTATTCTGATGTGGTGCAGCACTAGACTGCTGTTGTTAACATTAAATGCCATTCCAATGAATTGTGCACACACATTGGTCTGTAAACTAGCGTAGAATGTTATCTGAAAGTGCCTAATAGATATTACTGTATTTTCAGAGAAAAGACTAAGGATCACTTGACCAAACACCAGTAAAAAAACCCATTGTGTAATCTGATTAAAATGTTAATACATTATTATGACACTCAGAATTTTGTTCAAAGCTTGTCATCAATATAAAAAGTTGACTTCATTATATCCACGTGCTGAACGGTCATAAATAATTATCAATTTGAGGTGAAACAGTGATGTGTAAATGACACAACTCCACTTCCACTTTTTTTACTGGAAAAAGGCCTGTAGAGGGAGTTTGAATTACCTTCAGGTTGTTCTGTACAGGAGTCCCTGTCAGTACAATCCGGTTCTTGGCACCAATAGCATGAACTCCCTTTGTGGTTTTAGTAGGATTCTTGATCTTATGACCTTCATCCAATATCATATAATCCTAAAATAGAACAGACTGAAATTTGAAAAATATTCCAGTACTTATCATGGTAATTATTGAAAAATTAATTTTATAATTAAGTGACACCTAGGTAACACTACACAGTTTCAAATGTGTGTATTTTCTTCAGAGCATTTTTTCTAGTTTTGTTGAATGCCATTCTGATTTCCACAGCACAATGTAAATGGTGAAGCATTTCAGAATATTTTTGTGTTTTTTTTTCTGTCTGAACATATTCAATGGGTCCCTTGTTTATCATTCATTTTAAGTTAGAATTAATAACACTAATGGTATTCACTAATTTTTTCTTCATAAAAAAAATTGAAACTTTCAATGTCCTCAGCATTTTTTCAACTAAATTTCATTAAATTTTGCTTAAAAACAAAATTGGTTCATCATTCGCGTACTTTCTTCAAAGAATGAGATTTTAAGTATTCATATTCCAAGAAAACTTGTGGGGCAACGCCAAAGGTATTCAATTGAACAAGCACTGTATTTATTGTATGTATTTGTTTGAAATTATTTTTTATCTTTGCTAGATTTGCAAATTAAAAGCAAGCATACAGAGTATTGCTTAAGCATGTCCTCTACTGGCCCTTGAAAAGAATAATATTGTAATGATTTATAAAGATGGTATTTTTGGTGTTTATTTGGGAAAAAATAGTATATACACGTAATTTGTTTGTAACTGATCATCACCCTGAAACTGAGATGTTATGGTTGTTTGTAAGTGTGTAAGATCAAAATCTGGTAAGGAATGAAGCAGTGTGAATACTGATAATGATTTTCTAAAAATAGCAACAGTAACCTTGACCTTAACTCAACAACCATGAAACAAAAACTTTTTCAAGACATTTAAGTGTTTTAAAAGTGTGAGGAAAATTCCTCATGGAGTAAATCACAAGAGCACTGAAAATTATTTTCTAAAAAATTGAATAATGACCTTGACCCAATATCCCTGAAACTCAGAGAAGTCCAAAATATTTTGATGTATATGAAGTTTATGAGACTTTCACAAGGAATAAAGATATCAGAGCTCTGACAAACAATGGTATCACATATGTATATATATATATATAGACAGACAGAGAGGAAAACTATAGTTCCCAACAGTTTCACAGGTAGATGACTAATAATGAAATTAGTGTTATTTTCATCAAAAGAATTCAAAACACAGTGAAAGAAATTTTCTGTAAAACCAGAAATGAAAGTGGAAAAAAAGTGTAAAACTTACCCATTCAAAATCCCGACCTTCCTTCTGACTGAGCTGCTCAAAGCTGGTGACCACTAGACCATATGATGTGAGACACACCCCTCCACGCCGCTGAACCTTAGTCAGGGCACGCTCCTTCTCTCGTTTACTACTGCCATGGAACAGTGTCACTCTTATACCAGGGGCCCTGTGAGGTAACATCCAAAATATCTTAAGATTTGATGTATTCTGTTACTGATAAGTGTATTTATCATTCTGTGATGCAGTTGATAGAGACATTTTCCAAGTTCTCAAAAATAGGAATGAAATATGGGATTTACATATGACCCATTAATTCTGGCTGACCAAAGGACACCCTATTCGTAAATGCTTCATTAATTACAATAACCTTATATCTTTCTTTTTTTTATCATGTCCAAGTTTTCTTTTTAAATGTGTTTCCCAACACACATTTTACTAAAACAGCTGTAACACATAACTTTTAAAAAAAGAAAAGTCAAAACACTAGCAAGTTATGTACATGATAATACTGGCAGTGCAAGACACAGCAATTATCATACAAAGTGGTTATATATCTTACCATTTCTTAAATTCCTTCTCCCAGTTACTTATTAGGGACACTGGCATCACAATGAGAACAGAGTGGACTTTGTCCATATCAAATAGTCCTGACAGGAATGCTATCACCTGTATAGTCTTACCCAAGCTGAAAAAAACATGATACTACCTATTGTAAAGCTTTTTCAGGATTCTTTCAGGATTATCATTAAGAAAAAACACCGGGTAAAATTCTGTCTTTGTCAGAAAAATTCCCTGCATACAGTAATGAAATGCTTATTCATGCAACAAAATACCTCTATACTTTAAGGTACAATAATTTTCTGATCTATTTTCTTACATAAGGCAGTTATACTATTAATCATAAGAAGAAAAATACAACATCAAAAATGTTAATAGAAAAATTAGCTTGAAAATGTCAGTAAGAAATTAATTTCCCTGCCTCCATGTTCAAAAGTATCAATGTTTGATAAATTTCTGTAAGAAATGATGGTGACCTTGACCTTAGAACCATGAAACATGAACTTTTCTGAAGTTATTGCCATAGTTAACCTTTACATACAGGCCTTTATGAAATGAAATTGATGACATTAAATAAGATTTTGACTATTGAAATCAATATGTAAGTGGTCAGCAAAGGCACCGAGCAAATTAACTTCATCTTAATACAGTTTAACCTTGAATACTTACATCTGAGTAATGTCTCAATATTCTTTATAGTGTAAATAAATATGTATATTTTGTCCCCTACTGATAGTGTCTCAATAACTGAAAGCAGGTGCTTGTGTGAAATATGTGAAGTAGCAGGAGGTTAATACACATAAATCATAAAGTACCCTTGATTCATAAAACAGGTCATGTGATCTTACCCCATGTCATCACCAAGGATACCACCCTTGCGTTTCTTATTTAGTGACCACAGCCACAGTACGCCCGCTTTCTGGTGGTCGTACAGTTTATTGTACAAGTCTTTGTACAAGTAGAACTCATTCCCTACTAGGACCATCCCATTATCCTCTTCTTCTGAAGATTCCTCCTCTTCTTCATCACCATACTCCTCAAGGTATGCCTACGATCATGTTGAATTGTTCATTTAGGATTAATTAGTAGAGTTCTGGTATAACTCAGATCTCAGAACAAGAGATCCCAGAGGGATCTTGGCGCCCACCATTTGAGGATCTGTTTTCAGTTCTTGAAGATTTGTTTATTTTTTTTTGTTTGTTACAGGTGTTGTAAATGTTCATGAACTGGTCTTCATTGAATGTACTCAATGATGGCACAAGATATTTTTATCAAGCACCTATTAGCAAATATCATTTGAAAAAGATCCCAAAGTATTATTAGATAGCAGTCAGTTACAGGTGGATAATGGACAATATGCTTGTGCTGTATTACTGTCGACATCCAAGATGGCTGCCTGTGGGCCACCTTGATTTCAAATCAGTCCAAAAAAGGTACAATGCACAATTAGGGACCAAGGGAAACCAATATCTATGAAATATCAGTAACAAGATTTTACTCTCAACATCCAAGATGGCTGCCTGTCAGCCATCTTGATTTCTGATCAGTCCAAAAAGGTATAATGCACAACTTCCTCAGATATAGCAGTAACAAACTTTTACATCCAAAATCCAAGATGGCCACCTGTCGGCCATCTTGAATTCGAATCAGTCCAAAAAGGTACAATGCACATCTAGGGACCAAGGGGAACCTGCATATGAAATTTGAGAAAGATCCATCCAGTACTTTCCAAGAAATAGCAGTAACAAACTTTTACATCCAAAATCCAAGATGGCCACCTGTCGGCCATCTTGAATTCGAATCAGTCCAAAAAGGTACAATGCACATCTAGGGACCAAGGGGAACCTGCATATGAAATTTGAGAAAGATCCATCCAGTACTTTCCAAGAAATAGCAGTAACAAACTTTTACTTCCAAAATCCAAGATGGCTGCCTGTCGGCCATCTTGAATTCGAATCAATCCAAAAAAGGTACAATGCACAACTAGGGACTAAGGGGAAACTGCATATGAAATTTGAGAAAGATCCATCCAGTACTTTCCAAGAAATAGCAGTAACAAACTTTTACTTCCAAAATCCAAGATGGCTGCCTGTCGGCCATCTTGAATGCGAATCAGTTCAAAAAAGGTACAATGCACAACTAGGGACCAAGGGGAACCTGCATATGAAATTTGAGAAAGATCCATCCAGTACTTTTCCAGAAATAGCGGTAACAAGGATTGTTTACGGACGGGCGGACGGACCACGGACGCAGGGCGATTTGAATAACCCACCATCTATTAGATGGTGGGCTAAAAAAGACCAGAGATTTCCTATGTTAATTTGCTCATTCAGATATACATTTACATTTACAACAAGCAGCCTTGAAAGCTTCTAATAAACAATATAAAAAAATTAAAATCTCTTCAATGCAAGAAACAAAAGGTATTTTGCAATTAATGTATGAAACCAATTAAAACTGATTGGTAATTATCAATTTAGAAAATGGAACCGATTCACTTCACCAGTTACTGGTAATATGTTCATTGATTTTTATTCAATAACATATTTTATTACTCTGCAATAAACCCATTTTTGGGTGTATGTGTTGGCCACCTGGGCTTGTTACAGGATAGACATGAGAAGACATACAGTCAATACCATACTGCTGCTTTTGTCAATGTTCATACCATGTTGATACCAAAATTGAGATAAACAGACTTTGTATTCACAAAGACAAAGTAATTACAATATCCAATCCTAACACAATAACAAAACAAAAATTAGTACTGTCCAGTTTTATATCTATTACAAACTCAGATATATCGGAAACATTCTAAGCATCAGTATTTTGGCTATCAGTCTAATTTATGTGTATTTTACCTCCATCTTTTGTATACGCCGAACTAGTTTGTCTTTATGGTGTATCTTCAGAGCCCGCTTGTTAAGTTCCAGGGCCATCCTCACCTGACCATCTGCAGCCAGCTGAGATGCCTTAGTGACCAGGCGATTAAACTTAACTTGATCATCGTGTCCCAAGTCATCCTGACTTCCTTTACGGGGATTTACATTCTCTGTTCAAATAAAAAAAATAGAATACAAATTGTACCAGTATTTTAAAGAAAATCAACTGACAGGCACAGATATTATGAGCACAATATTTAAAACATTGGCGAACAACTTATATACATAACAATGATATATGATTCAACTAAGGTTAATGAGAATTATTCAAGTTTTATCAATATTACTCAAAGTAACTTAAAAAATTTACCTTATTTATATCATGAATCTTATTTTGGTATATGAAAATAATTTTTCATACTCAGGTTTTAACAAGATTGCTTTATTTATTCCATGAAATATATCCTATATATGCACCTTAATTTGCTTAATGAGAATGACTTCTCTATATTTAGGGTTTATTGATATTATTATCCTTATTTTCTAAAGCATCTAATTCCTGTACCTTTTGTGTCTGAAGTTTCTCCTTTCACACTAGAAGCCAGATCATTTTTCAAACCAGGCTCATCTTTAAGCTGGATGTTATTTAACTTGTCATAGGTTTCCTTTAGAGCAGTCTCCATCCCTTGCTGCTTGGTTTGACTTCAATAAAGACCTGTAATTGTACAGCAAATATAGTTAGACAATGTTAGCCCACTTTGCCAAAGATATGTAACATAAAACCTCTGGAATGAATATTCACTTGTGTTGTAAAATCATGTGCTACCTGTAGTACTGACCTGTACTTGTGTTAATTGTATGTTTATAGTGTTACCTGTGCAGGCTTATGTTGTATTAAGTGGGTTTACAGAAGTAATTATGTAGCACTGGTCTCACTTCCTTGGGACAGCAGACATGACAACTCTATAGGTAAGAGCTATAAATAAGACTGATGGTTAATCTAAAATGCTATCTCTTCTAATGATACCAAAGCAATCCTTATATTTTTTCACTTCACTCAGTCTTTAACAGCCTGATGGGATATAAATCATATTTTCCTTTGACATTGTTCAAGCCTATATGATGTTCAACATTAAAGTTTTTAAATCCAAGTCAAAATGATTGGCATAGCAGACTGTCAGCTCTCTCCATCTCACTCAAAAAATAAACATTTCTTTATTGAATTTGAAAAACATTGAAAAACATCATCCAAGAAAAAACAGGATAAACCAAATGTGAAAACTAAAACTAATAATAGTTTCTGAGAGACATGACGTGTATTAAAACTACACATGCTAAATATCCCTCAGTCAAGTCATATACCCAGTGTATTTCTTGCAGGTTCAGTTTCTATGAATGATCAACAGAAAAATGATCAAAGAAAGTCTCACCACTAGCACTGAATCGAATTGGTTCCTACCAAACACCGGTATGTGGCAGTATATAATTTCGATTAGTATTTTATTATTTAGGAAGTGACCACGAAGTGTTAAAATGAGATGTCAATGACTATTTGGCAATCGTTAAATAAATATCAATTGAAAATGTCTATTTTCATTACCAAAACCCCGCGCAGCTGAACTGCCATATTGTCTCCACATTCTGCACAATTTTTGTTTTAATCGTTCACGACAATATCAATTTATCATAACGTACCACTGTTTCCCGACCAGATCAGTTGCTATACTACCGATTGTAGGATGAAGTGATTTTTCCCTTTGAAAATTCCGCCACTTTCCTTATGATGTCATTGAGAAGTTTTCTCATCAAAGCGCTTAGCATGAATAGATTCTTACAATTCAAACGTCTTTGTGATCTGATGAAGTATCGGAGCTCTCCTACAGGAAGTTAGCATTAGTCAACGGATGAAAATAAAAAAAGAAATGATTGCTGAGAAAATTCTATAAATTTGAAGTATTCAGGTGACATTTACTACACGAACTACTTATGGTGTTTTTAACAAATGGTATCCCATGTCCCAGTCAATTTACCTCGTTTGGTTGAGATTTGAGATAAAAGAGTCCAAACAGGGCTTGGAACACCTCGAGTATTCTGGTGAGTTCTGCTAGTCTGTCATGATCAGGTAATCTAGTAATACTAATAGCAGAGTAATGGTGAACAAGACGCAAAATGCAACGAGGCTGTCATTCGTAATAGATTTTCTATGTGTAAGTTTTGTGATAAGAGGGGAAATATATGCCACTAAAATCAACAAGTCCACATCAGCTGATTATGGTCGCAAATAAATGTTACAATTCATGATCAGTGTGGCCACATTATCTGTTAAAGAAATATCATCTCATAATTCACATAATTATCCGTTTGATTGACATTCGTTTCCGTTTTCATCTCTTGGAAAATATAAACCTTTCTCTGAGTTTCTTCTATACACTTAGAAAGTATGAAAGATATAAATTGTAGACATACAGTATATTTTCATGTTTTAAACAGATAAAAACGTAGCTTATCAATTTATATCAGGATGCTATTCATGCGTGTGCAAGACAATCTTAAATCGCCAATCAGGGGATAAAAAAAATCCAAACATGTCACATATTGTAGCACATGATAATCAACACACAGCTGGTATATATAGTCTGTGTTATATATATTCTGATATATATTCATAATTTTCTGTAATGGATGACAGTCACAGTCAAATGTGGTATGTATCTATATCTAGTTAACCAGTACTTGGAAAAGTCTGATGATGTTAATGTTTTTTTTTTAATTTATGATGCTAAAAAGTAAATAGGAACCCTAAGATAGCCAATATGATGCAGGGCAGCCAATAACAATATCAAAATAATTTCTCCTAGACCCTGTAAGTTATGGTTGGTTCCTCAATTCTTTACTGGTATTATCAAGTTTATTTCAGTAGACACAATTGAATGCTCTCACAGGATTTATATTGTATGTATGTACAATGTAACATTCATACTCTTTTAAAGCATAAAATCCATGGCTTACAATTTTCATAAGATATAATATTGGAATAGAAAGGAAGTAAAAACACCAGGAAACATTATTTTTCAGTCCATGGTAATATGACAGAAATCAATGTTGTAAAGGCAATACTGATGTTCTCTAAAAATCTGTTTTTTATCTAGCTCCAGGTTATTCGCTGAATGAGGAGTTGCAACAAAAGTCTAAGAAAACTTATGCTGAATCCTTATCTGGCTCCTCTTCATCACAAGAGAGAGAGGACAACCCACAGACAAAGGAAGACCTGGTGAAGGAGTGCCAAGGAAACAGAAAGTTCTCTGACATTACAATAGAGACATATTACTATGGTACAGGGTTCATTGTAATATTACTGAATAATATTTTTTTAAATGTGGAGAGACAAGAAAAAAATTTTGGAATTTTCTTTGTCTTATTCTCTTCTCAATGTCTGTGTATGTCATTTCATGGTGAAGTGTATATAAGTGTGTAGTGTTGTGTCATTATTTTCTGTTTAAGTACAGAGTAGTAGGTTGATAATGACTTAGTTATAAATATAGTTCTGACATATTAAACTAGGGGTGTCAGTTTTCCATAGCACAAAGCATGTGTATATGATTATTTTATGAACCCCTCAACAGATACACTTCATACTCACATCATAGTATCATAAAGTTTAACACCTAATAGACTTTGATGGTCATCTGTCAAGCATCAAAGATTGTTCACAATAGCTTTTGAAATGAAAACGTCAGGGTATGTGGTTATATCTATGTAAGCCCTGTCCTTTTTGTTTGGTTGATGAAGATATAATAGAATGACAATGCTGAGATATTTAAGAATTTGTTACAGAAAATATGGAGGAAAACAAAGAAGAAAAATACGATTTGCATCTAAATAGAGTCAATCAAGGCTCAGAATCACCAACTGATGTAGTACCTAAGCAATTTGACAGGAAATCTAGTTCTAGGGAACCAGAACTGACCAGATCCAGAGAGGGATCAGAGTCTTCAACAGCTTCCTTGGGTGGTGCTAACAAGATGGGGCCAAAGGAGGCTTACTTTCGACCCATCCGATCTTACATGGATGAAGGCCCAGGACCAGCACCCTCTCCACCACGGTCCTATGGAGATGAAGGTCCAGGACCAGCACCTTCTCCAACCAATGGAGCCTCCTCTCGGCCTGGCAGCGGAAGGAAAAGTCACAGTCCTTCTGCTCGGTACCCAGCCACTATTCACTTTTACTCAGGAAATCCTGCAGTTGAATGCATCCAGGGTGTGCTGCATCTGTATAAGGACAAGTGAGTTTATTTTGTGTATTGATAAGTTCCTATATTAGCAAGTCAGCTCTTCTTAGATTTGGTAATGACTGGCATATACAAGATAAAATGCTCATGAAAATCATACAGTGGATTAAACAAATATATAGTATTCAAATGGGGTTTTGGGAAATTTTTATTACTATATAATTGTATAATCATTTTTTTTTTTTTTTTGGTTGAGCTAAGACATTTAACATGTGTTCTATTCTGAAAATGTAAACACTTTTATGTCATGTCATTTCAATTAAGATTAATGAAACTGTGCTTGTGCAAAAAATGTTAATATTTTTAGCTCACCTGATGACCCATGATGTCAAAGTTGGCCCTGGGAACATGGATATGTCTTTGAATTAGTTGAAATCCCCACCCCATAATCATATATAGCATTGCAGGAGGTCAAGAGACAAACATTATCATGATGTAAAAATTAGCCCTGAGGCCTGGCCCATTCCCAGTGACTTAGTTTCCTTGGTAATATCTTTGAAGCAGTGAAGATCTCCACCCCATTACCATTTGTAGCAAAGTTGTTGATAAGAGATAAACACAATCATGGTGTGAGAATTGGCCCTTAAGACTGGCCCATACCTGCGAGACATAGCTTCTTGGCTGTATCTTTGAAACAGTCAGCTGAGATCCCCACCCCATAACCATAGAAAATTATGCTTGGCATCAAAAGATAAACATTATTATGATGCATGAATTGACCCTGGGGCCTGACCCCACTCTTAGGGACTCAGTTTCTTGGTAATATCTTTGAAACAGTAGAGATCCCTGCCCCTAAACCATAAATAGTAATGCTAGGCATCAAGAGATTATCACATTAATTATGTAAGAACTGTGTAATTTCTGGGTTTTATCTTTGAATCAGTTGAAATCCCCACCCAATAACCATATATAGAATTGCCTTGCATCAAGAGATAAACACATTCCTGATTTAAGAATTGAATCTTGGGCATGGCACATCAAGGAGCTTAATTTCTGAGTCATATTTTTAACACAGTTGAGACACCAACAAAACAACCATATAAACTTTTACTGGGCATCAAAAGAGAAAGACAGTCATGATGTAAGAAATTACCCATTGGTCTTGTGCAACCAAAGAGCTTAAGTGACTGAGCTGTAATTTGGAAATGCTCATACTATTGGCATGTATACCATTGCAAGGCTTTAAGGTCCAGACGAGCAATACAGGCCCTATGAGCCTTTTGAAAATGTGTTGGCCCAAGCAGAGCCTTAGTGAACACTCACATAATCTACTACAACTAGCATACTTTTGTTTGTTTATTTGCAATGTGTATATGTAGAAAATTGCTTTAACAAAAAATAAATCATGTTTCAGTAAATACTGTGATGAAGCAATGTAAAATTTTCAATGTTTGATAACAAGTTTTTATCTAATACAAAGAAATATTTATCAAGTACTTGGATCACATGGTCTGAATGCTTACAGTAAGCCGACACCTGTAAAGGGAGACCACCTACGTAGTGAGTTGATCTGTATGCTGTCTGTTCCTGGGGCATACACTGTCCATGATCTCCTCAAGTTTACTGCCCCAGTCAGGTATACAACTGAAGCTTTATTTATGTCCTGATGCTGTAAATAGATCAAAATTAACGATAAAATCAGAAAATTGTAATGCTTCCTAAGTGTTCCTTTTGAATTTCTGAGTAGAGATTTATGGAAAAGCAACCTTTCCATAGCTATTCAATTTCAAATTATGTTAGAGTTGTTGAATTTGTATGAGTGTCTACCAATATTGCTGTTTTGGTTGATAAGAAATGAGTGCAATTTTGATATGTATACCATATGTATCGTCAACTTACTGTTATCGTACTTGAAACTTATTCTTTGTGAGTTGGTAACAAGTTTCTGTCCAGTTTTTCTTTGAAATCTTTCCACTTCAAATTTACTCTAGCAACTGAATAATAAAATGGTCTTTCATTAACAATTTCTTATTGGCATTCATGGCTTTGTGAATTCTTCTTCTTGTCTTATTACAAATCTGTGAATGGTATTCAATGTATAGTTATTATGATTCTACAGCCCTTTTAAATTTCCTTCATATCTTTCATGCAAATATGGGAAAAGTCTTATGGTAGTGTTTTCCTTTTCTTTCTTTCTTTTTCTTTTTTGTAAATGAGATGAAAAAATGGAATGATTTATTATTTGCAGTGAAGGAATTGAGTACATGAGGATTATAAGAGATCCAAGTCCTAACCAGTTTATGGTACTTGTCAAGTTCAGGAGTCAGGTTTGTAGCACATAAACAGTAGTGTAACACATAAACAGTAGAACTTTAATATTATTTAATAATACTGTATAAATATATGTTAGAAAACATTTAATCCATTAAGTGTAATGCCTAAATCTGTGATTCTTTAACTGCTAGTCAAGGTTCTGCTTACTTAAGTAATACTTTCAGTCCTCATTTCTGTTAAAAAAACAAACCCATTGTCCAGCAAAACTTTCTACTTCTCAGCTTAGCATTTTTAAAGGGAAATATTTTGAATTGTTTTCTGTTCTGAGTAAGATGATAAAACCGAGGTTATGATATGTTTGTTTTGTTAGGATCAAGCAGATGAATTCTTCACCACCTACAACAACTCACCTTACAATTCCATAGAACCAGACATCTGCCACCTCATCTATGTCGCCAGGGTCGAAACCATGAAAGACATTGAAGTAAGACTGATATCAATTGTATATGTTTCCATTGTGAGGGGCATGAAAGTTCAGTCAGTTAGGGGGTTGGACAACATAACCTCAGGTGAAAATCCGAGGTGCATGTGCATGGTATAAAGCTTCCTTTCCATGTTGTTATATGTCTTTGAGGAAGCTAAGAAATGGATTGACCTGTGCTGATGTAGTGGTGTCCTTGGTTAAGACACTTTACCCTAATTATTCTTGATTGTATGCCACATGCCTGCTGTATGTTAATCAGTGAGATAACCGCCAGTTTCTACAAGGATATTGTGTCTCAGAATGACCCTGGCTATTCATTGGGTGATCAACCCTGCAATCAGACAAAAAGTTCCAGTAAGATACCCCACCCCTTAAACCACAGCACTTTGAAAGAGGCATTCATGCAGTGGTTGTCATATCTGTCTGTCTGATATAACAATAATCCTCAGTTATTCAATTTTACTTTGACCCATATTATCATGACATTGAAGTTGTTTCAAGGTCATTTATGACACACAGTCATCAAACTTTACATTGTAAATGGTCACATAGAAGTATTATCATATTTTATCTTAGAAAAGTGAAAGAATGAGAATACTTTCAGTTTCTGTTTATTTCTTTTTTATCGTATCTGTTTTGGGCTCGTCTGTTCACAGCTGTGATATCATGTAAAGACTGTGAAACTTCAGTCTCAGATAAAGATCTGAGGTGTATAGTTTGATGGTCCCTCCTCAGTGTGGTTTGTGTTTCTCAGAAAGCTGAGATCATGAATGTCCTGTGCTGTATTGATTGTATCATTTTAAAGACACTCTATCCCAGTTGCTTTGGATAGTATGCAACAGGCCACATAGGTGTAGCCAACAGCTACAGAAAGTAGACCCTGTCTCAAAATCAACTTAGCTGTGAAGGGGGCTTTACATTTGTCAAACCAGTGATGTTTTACAAACATTTACAGGGTAGAAGGTGAATCAGGTGTAATCACAACATAACAAAACATCTTTATACATTTTCCTAAGAGGTCTGTGTTTACTATAAACATGTACACTACACAAGCCCTTGCATGACTTATCCCTCATTCTACCTGTGGTATGACATCACACATGTAGCTTGTGTGACATAGCACTTGACCTGTATAACACTCCTATTCCAAATATGCAAGGTTTTTCCATGATGGCGTTTGGAACTTCATATATCATGGGTTTATATTTTCAGTGGTACCCACTTTCACTATTTTTTAATTGTTTTGATATCACCTCCAACGGTTTATAAATAGACTCCAATCAACTTAAGTATGTTTTAATGTTATCTTTGCATAATTATCAAGTTTTCCTAGAAACTTTCTGAATCATGTAAAATTTGCCAAATGATACGTACATATTGGGGTTTTCAACTTGACTAAACTGTGTTATAAGGCTTAGATTTCTATCATTTGTTACTGTATTGTAAAATTTTGAAATTTCATTATAACAGGGTGCCTGTCTGCCTACCCCGGGAGTTACAGAGTTGCCCTGTTGTCCTGTGTGCCTGGAGAGAATGGTATGTATAATATTGTATAAAAGATGGAATTGAAGTACTTAACTTGTAAAATTCAAGCTTATTACATGTCCATCTTATACTTGATCATGTCTTGATGCTAAAGAAACAGTGTTATATATATTGAGCTGTCTAAATGGTAATTTGATACATCAGTATCCAGTTATCAATCAAAGACAAAAAAAAGAACATTATTTGTAACTGAAGTTAATGATTTGTGCCTTTTTAAAAGGTTTGTATGAAAGGATCAATTTACAACACCCTTTTATCTTTTCAAGAAAACAGTTTATAAATACATATTTAGTAAAATAATTTAAATAGAAACTATTTCTATTACATAACACTGTATGTCTTTATCATACATGTATAAACTGTGATAAATAACCAGGACCTTAACTGTACAACTCTTTGTTGTCGCTTGACATGTTAGAGTGCGGTAGTTTTATCTGGCTCCAGGATCATGAAATGATCTTGTATCTAATACTGTCCTTAGGTCAACATGCTTATCACTGAAGATGTCATGAAAAGAGATGTCAAATGTGATTTGTTAAACATAACTACAATTAAAGATTATTTGATGATCCTCAGACTAGAACACTAAAGATGCTGTATTGTTTTGTAAGACGTGTCTATAGATGACCTTCACATGTTAGAGTTAGGTAGTTTTATCAGGACACTAAAGATGTTGTGTTGTTTTGTAGGACGAGTCTGTTGATGGTATCCTGACCATTCTATGTAACCATGCCTTTCATACTAACTGTCTGGAACAGTGGGGAGACACCAGGTATAAACTACACTACAAACTCTCGTCACATCTATATAGTAAAACATGTACTATTATACTGTGTGGAACAGTGGGGAGACACCAGGTATAAACTACACTACAAACTCTCGTCACATCTATATAGTAAAACATGTACTATTATACTGTGTGGAACAGTGGGGAGACACCAGGTATAAACTACAGTGGTGATACACCAGGTATAAACTACACTACAAACTCTCGTCACATCTATATAGTAAAACATGTACTATTATACTGTGTGGAACAGTGGGGAGACACCAGGTATAAACTACACTACAAACTCTCGTCACATCTATATAGTAAAACATGTACTATTATACGGTGTGGAACAGTGGGGAGACACCAGGTATAAACTACAAACTCTCGTCACATCTATATAGTTAAACATTTACTATTATACTGTGTGGAACAGTGGGGAGACACCAGGTATAAACTACACTACAAACTCTCGTCACATCTATATAGTAAAACATGTACTATTATATTGTGTGGAACAGTTGGGAGACACCAGGTATAAACTACAAACTCTCGTCACATCTATATAGTTAAACATTTACTATTATACTGTGTGGAACAATGGGGAGACACCAGGTATATCCTACACTACAAACTCTCGTCACATCTTTATAGTAAAACATGTACTATTATACTGTGTGGAACAGTTGGGAGACACCAGGTATAAACTACACTACAAACTCTCGTCACATCTATAGAGTAAAACATGTATTATTATACTGTGTGGAACAGTGGGGAGACACCAGGTATAAACTACACTACAAACTCTCGTCACATCTTTATAGTAAAACATGTACTATTAAACTATGTGGAAAAGTGGGGAGACACCAGGTATAAACTACACTACAAAATCTCATCACATCTATATAGTAAAGCATGTACTATTATACTGTGTGGAACAGTGGGGAGACACCAGGTATAAACTACAGTGGGGAGACACCAGGTATAAACTACACTACAAACTCTCGTCACATCTTTATAGTAAAACATGTACTATTAAACTATGTGGAACAGTGGGGAGACACCAGGTATAAACTACACTACAAAATCTCATCACATCTATATAGTAAAGCATGTACTATTATACTGTGTGGAACAGTGGGGAGACACCAGGTATAAACTACACTACAAACTCTCATCACATCTATATAGTAAAGCATGTACTATTATACTGTGTGGAACAGTGGGGAGACACCAGGTATAAAACAGTACACTACAAAATCTCGTCACATCTTTATAGTAAAACATGTACTATTATACTGTGTGGAACAGTGGGGAGACACCAGGTATAAACTACACTACAAACTCTCATCACATCTATATAGTAAAATATGTACTATTATACTGTTTGGAACAGTGGGGCGACACCAGGTATAAACTACAAACTCTCGTCACATCTTTATAGTAAAACATGTACTATTATACTGTGTGGAACAGTGGGGAGACACCAGGTATAAACTACAGTGGGGAGACACCAGGTATAAACTACAAACTCTCGTCACATCTATATAGTTAAACATTTACTATTATACAGTGTGGAACAGTGGGGAGACACCAGGTATAAACTACACTACAAACTCTCGTCACATCTATATAGTACAACATGTATTATTATACTGTGTGGAACAGTGGGGAGACACCAGGTATAAACTACAAACTCTCGTCACATCTATATAGTTAAACATTTACTATTATACTGTGTGGAACAGTGGGGAGACACCAGGTATAAACTACACTACAAACTCTCGTCACATCTTTATAGTAAAACATGTACTATTATATTGTGTGGAACAGTGGGGAGACACCAGGTATAAACTACAAACTCTTGTCACATCTGTATAGTTAAACATTTACTATTATACTGTGTGGAACAGTGGGGAGACACCAGGTATAAACTACACTACAAACTCTCGTCACATCTCTATAGTAAAACATTTACTATTATGCTTCAGAAATATCTGGCGACTGTAGAAATGTAGGCAGGAAGAGAAGAATGGAAAATTCATCAAAAGTTACCCCTTTTAGCACAAAATACCCAAAATAATGATTTTGTTAATGACAAATCTGTGTAATGTACTATTTTCTATATTTCTTTAACAAAACACCGCATTGTAATGATATTTTAAGTTGAATCTCCTACATAACTTGTATTTTCATGGAAATGCTGTAACAGAAAGTTTATTTGAGGGTGTTTTTTCCTTCAGGATAGTGAAAAATTTATAAATTGAGAATGCAGTTAGTGAAATAGAAAAAATATTATTAATCCATTACTTTTGTGAAAGATGCACCCCTTTTGCTTCAATCTTTGGAAAAATGCATATAATTCAAGTTATCATTAGAAAAAATGACTATATAGTATGTTGAGTCACAAGGATATTTTTGTGCTGTGAAATTTTTTGTGAAAATCTCCAAAATTTACCTTTTGCAATTTTTGTTGATTACTTTTTTTACATGTAGGTACAGTCAGTCTTGTATCTGTTATTGATAACAGAGTTATATTATGGATGTTATATTTTCCAGCTGTCCTGTATGTAGGTACAGTCAGACTTAGGTCTGTAATTGATAATAGAGGTATATTATGGATGTTATATTTTCCAGCTGTCCTGTATGTAGGTACAGTCAGACTTAGGTCTGTAATTGATAATAGAGGTATATTATGGATGTTATATTTTCCAGCTGTCCTGTGTGTAGGTACAGTCAGACTCCAGAAGAGTCAGCCAATCACAGATGTATGAAATGTTCTTCACAGGAAGTGAGTAACATCACCATTACTACTGTGTTATTCCTGAAACAAACCAAAAAAGACAATATAGTAGTTATGACTTAACCAGTGTTGCTTATTGTTGGATGTTAAACCATATATCATATCATACACGATTTAAGTAATGACTGTATAAGTTGTTGTGTCAGAAACTCTACCATGTCTATACTGTTGATACAAAATTATTTCAGATCTATTGTGAAGGCATAGATGATGTAGACTTGTATTTGTGATCTGTCAACTGACAATACAGTCCTTTGATGAAACTATGATAATAGTGTTAATTCAACAGCCTTGATCAATGTATGTTGATCTCTGCCCTTTATATTACATCCTTAACATTGTACATAATAACTTTGAACTTGTGTGTTACCTCCTTGACCTTGTATGTAATAACTTTGACCTTGTTTTAACATCATCTTATACCATTGTATATTACAATCTTAACCTTGTATATTACAACCTAGGTCATAGTATGTAACAGACTTAACCTTTACAGTTACATCATTCACCATTGCGTATCACAGCCTTGACCTTGTATGTTACAGCCTTGACCTTGTATGTTTCAGAGTTTATGGATATGTTTGATTTGTGGTCACATCGGATGTGGACGTTACGTTGGTCTGCATGCTTACAAGTCAGTATAACTTTAAGTAAATTTTAGAAATAAAGTTTTCCTTGTCTTAACATTGATATTGACCATCATCATTGACTTTCAGAATAAGATATATTTATGAATAAGTGTATAACAGAATTTATATACATAACCATTATAAAAAAGAAGTTATGTTAACTGTAAGTTATCAAACTTTTTAGGATCTTTTAATCAGAACAATAAAAAAACTCATGAAATTTATGATATATCCTTATAGAATGACCTTGATTTTCACCTTAAACTTTCAGGCATTTTCAAGAGACCCAGCATACATACTCCATGCAGTTGGGTCACAACCAGGTGTGGGATTATGCTGGGGACAACTATGTCCATCGTTTAGTTCAGAGTAAGGGTGACGGAAAACTTGTACAGGTTGGAGAAGGTGGCAGTAGTCAGGTCCAGGGAGAGAAACTTGACTCCCTGAGTTTAGAGGTGGGTAAATTGTTTACAAGTGAGAAAGTTAACTCACTTGAGTAGATTTGGGTAATTTGACACATTGAGTCTAGAAGTGGGTAATTTCACTCCCTGGAACTAGAGGTCGATTAATTGACTAATTGAGTCCTTGGATAATTTAACCGCTTGAACCTAGAGGTTGTTAATTTGGCTCCGGGAGTCAAGAGGTGGATAAGTCCTCTCAATGAGCCTGGAGGTGAATTTAATTGTTATAAGAAGATGTTGGAATACTCAGGGATTATACAGAGCTCTTAATACTATTCTGCTTCAATTTCATATTATTGATATTTCCCAATAGTTGCGTATGTTTTTGTTTATCTTGCAGTATACATACCTACTTACAAGTCAGTTGGAGTCCCAGCGTTTCTATTTTGAAGAGAAGATGAACTTTGTAGAACAAGAGGCTTTAGAAAGGGTAAGATTGAAGGAAATTCTTTAATGTTTGATATTAAGTTAGGGGCCGCAGTGGTAGAGTTGTTAAGGCATCTGGCCATCTGGATCATGAGCCCTCCTCCTCTGGGTGGCAGGTTTGAGGTCGACATGTGGCAGTCACCAGGTATTGGCCGCAGGTCAGTGGTTTTTCTCTGGGAACGCTTGATTTCATCCACCATCCAAATCTGGCATGTTGGTTGTTTATAATACATAAAGCAAAAATAAACTATATATTTAGTATGCTCAGGGTTCCTCATCACAAGAATTTTTTTCTTATTTTTGCCTGGTGTTACGTTTGTCCTAAAAACACCAAAATTATACCTTTCTTTTTTTTACATTTAATTGACCAAGACAAGACATACATAACATTATAAATGTATCCTCACACGGGATGGCTCTCATACTAACACACATCATTCACACTTCTCATATTCCAGAATATGAAATACTTGTACACACATATACACACATACTTTAAGTCTTTTGTTCAACTGAATAATGAATTACAATCATTTTCTTGATCAGGATTCAACTACAATACATTTCCTAGCACAGTAAACTGTGTTTTTGTAAGACACACACACAAACACACAAAAAAGATAGGAAAAAAAGGTAAAACAAAATCTTAGCACAACATAACACTCACTTCTGTAGAATTTTATCCTGATATTAATTATCCCTATTCAAACTGTATTACCATTGTCATTTAACGTACATCACTTTACCTTGCATACAAGATACATTCCTACTTTTTACACATACATACACATATATATGTAGTGTCTAAACTCTGTGTGACGGGATATCCTGGGGAGCTTGGTCAGAAGGCAAGACCAGACTGTGTCATCTCTGCTAATATGTATTGCATTTTCACATACTTGGTAATTGAAAAGCGAGTATGATTATTGTAAGAGGAGGGGAACAAGATTTCTCTATGTTCAATGCATCCTTAAAACATCACCATTTTGTTTGAAAAATTGTTTTTATTATTTTTTATGGCTAGCCATTTTTCAATTCTCATTGTCTTACTGAATAAAATTTTACAATTATCAAAGTTTGGTACACACTCTTTCTTTCGACAATAATAAATGTGATGTTTAAATATTAAAAAAATGATTTAAACAAGGCCAAAACTTTGGATTTCTAACAAAAAGTCTACATCTTAAAAGGATAAAAAATTAAATTGATTTTTGTATGGTCTGTACCAAGCAGTAAATTATTCAATAAGTTGGACTATGAAATAACACTCTGTAAAGACGTGTCCCACTGTTTCGGGTTCTCTTTCACAAAAGGTACAAAGTTGACTAGTTATATTTATTATATATATTATATATATATATATATTATATTAAAGTATATTATATTATATTATATTATATTATATTAAAGTATATTATATTACATTATATTATATTATATTATATCAAAGTATATATATTATATTATATATATTATAATTTTCATGTTAAAATACCTCAAACTTTGTCAGACTTTTTATTTTCACCCAATTACTAAAAAGTCGAAAATTCAACTATAGCACTAAAGTTTCCTTGTAGTACATGTGAAGAAGATAAACCTAAAAAAACAATAGAGATAAAGTCTGTTATTGTTATACTGGAATATATCGGTCTATCAAGGCTTAAAATCGGGTCTGTGTCCAGAACCAAATACCAAACTAAAATTCAGACCTTATTTTGCTGACATTTTGCATGTTGGAAGAAAACATGTTCAACAAAATTATTTATTTAGCATCATGTTTTCTGTAAGTTGATTGTATGACCAGAATGTCTGCTGTTAGTTAGATTTAAGTGTTTTGCCCTGTTTCCATCATCTATATTGCTAATTGGTGACGGTTTCAGAGATAATCACCTTAATGAAACAGTGGTCAGACAAAATGGTGACTTTTCAATGTGTTTTTTTTTATGGCAGATACAACAGCTTGAAAAGCGACACCAAGAAAATTTTAATGAATATCAACAGGTTCAGCAAATGTTAGCAGAGACCCGCAAAGAAAAACAGGGACTGGAAAAAAAATCTTCTAATGTAAGTTTATGATTTATACAGACGAAAAAAGAAAAAAAAATTCCGAACTTCCGCATTCTTGGATTTTGAAGAAAAGTCATCGCTATTTTTTGGCTTTACCTCTCTAAATGGAATAGGTTTCTATTATTCACAGTTCAAATGAAAACATTGTTAATGTGAATAGATAAAGTTTATATCTAAAACATTGTAGTGTTTACCATGTTGGAATTAGGTGGGAAATTTAAGTGGACATTTTGTCATGGCGGGTAAGTGTAATACATGTGATTTTTTCCCCCACACCAGCTGCACAGTAGACTAACAAAGACACTTAAGGAGTTGCAAGAGGAGAAGGAAATGAATAAATGTTTACAGGAGAATCAAGGAGCCTGGCAGAAACGTGTGGAGATGCTTGAGGGTCAGGTTCGTACCCTGACTGTAGACAAGGAGAAGGTTAGTATTCATACAAATTTCTGATACCAGCTGTGAAGATTCTACCAAAATAAAAAAAAAACAAAGAAAAAAATAGATATTGATGTAAGAATATTTGGTATTGATCATTGAAATAGATTTCTGTATGTTTGATGTGCTTGGAAATATTGAATATGGTATATGAAACTAATATTTTTGCAATAGTTGTTCTTATATAAATACAGGAGAAAGTGTCATTGTCATAGTAATTGATATCTTGAAGATGTGAGAGCCTGACATGCACTTGTTGGAGTCTTTCACCATGTTTGGGTCATTAACCTTCTATTTATGGAATTAATTTTCATCAGGAGATCCAAGACCTTCAAGAACAATTAAGAGATGTGATGTTTTATCTGGAGGCACAGCAAAAACTGGCTTCCACAACAGCAGTGTCTCAGGCGGAAATACAAGAAGGTCATGTTGTTGTCGGGGCAACAGGATCAACTCCATCTCCTTCACACAAAAGAGGTAGAAAGAAGGACAGATAACTGTGATTTGGTACCTAATTGTGATATATATATTTCTATGATAATGGGAGAACTTTACTGCAATGTTTTGTTTTTTTGTTTGTTTAAATTATACACATTTCTCAGCTGCCAGAATTTTCCATAATATTGCTTTATTGATAACTGAAATGTGTTGAGGCATTATTTTAAAAGCATTTCACACCAAGTTGTCCATGATTAAAACTGAATTCTTGCAAAATATGTGTAAGTGTGTAACATTCTGAAATAAAAAGAAAAACAAGATAAGTGAATTTTTATGCTATAATGCGATGTCCATTACAGTATTCTGACATGTATTGTGTAGGCCAAAGATATCAGCAGATCTTGTCTTCAGTGGATAAATGTTTTTCCTTGCCATTGTTCATTTTCTAGAGAAACATTGTGATTAAATAGACATTGACAGAGAAAAGGCGGATGTTAATATTTTAGCAGAATATTACTTGTGTGTTGCTTGATTAGTTATTTCACTTTTTGTCTTTACTGCAAGCGGATAACTTATAAACAGTTTAAAAAGATATGTTCATGCATTTATTTTTGAGAATTATGATTTCAACTAGTGGGATTTGAAGGGGGAATGAGAGAAGGAAAGAATCTTAATTAAAAAATTTAAGAAAAGCTTCTTCTTTTTTTTTAAATAATTTTTTTAGCTCACTAGGCCCTAAGGGCATATTGAGCTTATGCTGTGGCGTGGTGTCCAGTGTCAGCGTTTTTTTTTTAAAAGAACCTACTCAAAATAACCAATGGACCAAATGTTTTGATATTTGGTTGGTATGTTTCTTGGATAAAGCATGATAAAGTTTTCAAAAAGAAGTGACCTTGGCATTTATTCAAGGTCACAGGGGTAAAATTTGCACAATTAGGCCAAAAGGCATGATATTTGGCTGGTAATATATACCAGGTGCTTGCTGCAGGCCCATTGGACCTCTTGTTTTTACCTTGTCTTAATTCTTCATTCTTCAGTGTTCAAGAAAAATATTGTGATGAAATAGACATTGGTTGAACAAAAGCAGTTAGTATTTTAGCAGAATATTATTTGTGTGTTGGCTGAACAGTTATTTCACTTTTGTTTTTGCTTTGGGCGACACCTCATAGGTTTTGTAGATGAATGAGAGAAGAGAAGAATCTTGATACAAAGAATGAGAAAACCTTGGTTTTTTATATGTATTTTTTTAATTGCAATGAAAAGATTCGGCAGTAATGAAAACTTGGACAAACAAGTAGGTTGCTCAATGTTATACATTCCTGATTTGTTTACAAGGCAATGATTGGCTGATTGTGTTTCATGCTATTATATAAAGATTGCTGTGCCCTGAAAATTTTTAATCCATAATCAGTGACAAAGTTTCTATGAAAGATATCTTATTGTAATTGTCTTAATGAAAATATCTAGTTTTACACACCATCAAAAGTAATTGACAGGGTATATTATAGTATGACATTGTCTGTTTTATTTGTCATGCAGTTTTCAACCAATCTTTCTCTAACATTGTAAACTCAAAACTCAAACACAGTAATATGATTCAACAATTTTTGATTGAGTTATTGCCCTTTGTTTTATTTCCTTGTTCCTGAGATTTTTTTTACCAATTTCTCTAAAACTTTGACAGCTTTATAACTATAACATGACATAAAAAATTGTTTTCCTTAATTGTATTCTGATTTACAATTTTAGGAAGAGTAATCACCTTTTTTTTTAAAAACATTTCAGTCTTGTCCAGATATCTCCCCTCAGTTTCTATCTAATTTAAGACACTTGGGAGGATTGAACACCACAGCATGTGATTGTGTTCCTGCAATTTCAGCATTTTCTTTTCATCATATTTAAAACAGTTATTGCCATTTTTTTTCGGTTTAGAGAAATTTTTCTTCCAATCTTTTAAAACTTGGTATGTTTTAATTTATCATTAAAATATATAGCGCTATTTTTCTGCTCGATAGTTTAACTAAATATTACCATTTCCATATTTGTATTTTCATTACAAAAAAATTCTGTCATGTGGTACTCTTGTTAATATATTTCAATAATGGTGAGCAGATTTACACAAGTTTAAAAAATCTGGGATTTCCTGGGGTAGATAATTAACATCGCATTTGTAATTGTTGGGTCAATGACGTCTGAAAATGGTACAGTCCTGTCAAATTCCAGCTAATTTTATAGTGTTTTAAACTGAATTAAGTTAGCCAGTTTTAGTTTTGAAGTCATTTGTCAAAGAGCAAGGATCAAAATTTCTTCTCTTCTCTCATATCATAAAGATTTGTCCATTTTCCTTGAAACTGATCATGATGATAACCTTTGTTTATTTTACAACAAGTGCGAAGCAAGTGTTTCCAACTTATATTAATCACTCTTGTTGGCTCGGATGGAAGCGTGTGAGGGGTCTTAATGTGGGAGGAAACAGGAGTACCCGGGGGAAACCCACATGGTCAGGCAGGTGACCCCATACCTTTTCACGTCCGTTCCGGGAATCAAACCCTGGATGGCTAGGTGAAAAGGCGAGTGTGTTACCACTTCGCCACCCACCATCTGAAACTGATTTAAAGAAAAAAAAGAACAAGTATATTCAGCTCTGAGTGGGTGGTGTATTTGTGTAGTGTGATTTATTGTGTGGAAGATACAAAAGTGATATTGAAAATATTAATCCTGTTTTTTTTTCATTACATATCACTGTAATACGGGAACATTATCTTTGCTTGTCGATATTAACATCTAGCTTGATTTCATTTACAAGAATATTTGCATGATATTAGATATTGTGAATAATGTTTTCAAAATTTAAGACAGAAATGTATTTTTTTTTTAAATATGCAGTACCAAATTTGGACATAGATGTTTGCTGCAATTGCTCTTGTATCACTTTCCAAAAAAACATCTGTATCTGGGAATGAATGACTGTCAGATCATTGATAGGAAGGTGTAAATCCATAGTGGATCTGTTGGTTAATTAATAAGTCATTTAAGGATCTGTTGTTCTTAATAAGAAGTTTATGTTTGGTTAGTCTTTCAGAATGAATATGGCCATGAATGATAAGTGAAGTTGTTGACTAAATCATTCTGCACAACAGAATCAGTTATGTCTACAGTGATCTGTTGTTCAGAATGAATAAATCCAAGGGTGATCTCTTGTTCACAATGAAAAGGTTACATGTGATCTGTTGTTCAGAATGATCAAGTGTGGGTGATCTCTTTTTCACAATGAATAGGTTAAGTGTGATCTGTTGTTCAGAATGAAGAGGTTACATGTGATCTGTTGTTCAGAATGAGCAAGCGTGTGGGTGATCTCTTTTTCAGGATGAAAAAGTCATGTGTGATCTCTACTGTGGAATGAGTCCATGGTTAATCTGGTGATTAGAATGAGTAACAAGAATGGATATCATTGCTATATTTTCATACATGTTCTCCTTGTTATGTTGTATATAAGACTGACTGTAACCTTACCACAGACTGACTCCCTGTACGGCCATTCCTTTATAGTGATAAAGTTAATCTGGTGCTTGTTGATAGTTCTAGTGAAAATTGTAATGGAGTTTTTTTTCAAACTGAATAGTAATCATACTTGAAATAAAACTTTTCTATGCATTGAAAAAAAAATTGTTATTTCATTGGATTCTGGATGAAATATGAGCGTGTATTTTTTGGTAGTGAAGCATAGAGACAACAGAACATTCTTTCTTGACATAGTTTTTGTGAGGTCTTAGAACTTTTCTTTAATGGATCAGAAATGTGCTACTTTACCTTATTAACCCTGCGTGGATCCAGGCTTTCGGGTTAGAGGGGGTGCACATTTTCTAAACTGGAAAATCTACCATCCATTCTTTTTCGTTTAAAGTCCATCTCTAATTCTACTGTTTTCCAGGATTTTGTTTGTTTTGGATGAAGTGATGTCCAATGTATGGAGGAGAGACAAAGTTCAAATTAGGGACACAGGGTCCAGGGGGCAATGCTCCGGTAAGGGGTTTAGGGGCAAAAGACATAGGAATGATGTGGCAAATATTGCTATTTCTTATAAAGAGCTTTAGAGATCATTCTCTTTCAAAGACAGATTTCCCTTGTTCATGGCTGTGGAATTCATGCACAATTAATAAGATAAAAAATTGCCCCATGAATTTTGACCGAAAATGCTTCTTGTTGCTATTTCTGAAGAAATGGAAGAATCAATTTTGGCTTTCATTGGTCTCTAGTATTCGATGTTCAATTTTGGGTATAGTTGGGAAAAGAATGGTCTACAAAAGAAAATGTATCTTGGAGTTTGATAAATTATCGAAGCGAATCTATGTTTTGTTGATGCTTTCTTATCCATATTTAGCTTTGAGATTGATTTGAAAGGCAGCTTGCTGTTGCTATTTCATATTCTAAATTACAGAAAAAATAAAGGGAATAATATGATACCTTTCCCTTTGGGTCATTCATACGTACTTAATGACAATAAAAGATAAAAAAAACAAGCTATATTTAGGAAGTAAAATACTTCTAAAGAACTTGTTAATGAAATATTACACATTGGTAACAAATTCTGAGAGTATGGTTGGAGGGCTTTGCTCGAATTTTTTTATGACTTACCAATAATGTCTCCAGTCCAGCATACATGATGATAAAAATCTCAAGTTATCGTTTTTGGAAATAATGGTCATTTTGGTCAATTTTAGGGTGTATGTAAAGATCAGGGGGGAGGGGGCAATTTCCTCAGTATCCCACTGTGCTTACTCTCTAGTCAGTAATATTTTCAAGGGATTTGATTTTTTAAATTTCATTACATTCGTGGTCATTAAAGAAAGCACACTAGTTTCAAAGGGCATACTGATATAGTGTTAAACATGCTCATTTGTCCTGTCAAGTTCCAAGTTGATGTCATCTTTGTGAGCCTCTTAACAGATACTTATAAGTATGAATGATTTTGGCGGGGCAGTAATTTTCTTCCTTCTCATTCATTATCAAACTAACCACACATTAGCCCATAGTCAGATGGAATCTGACTATCTGTATGCAACTCTCATGGTGACCTCTCCTTATACCCTTTATCCGGCATCGTGCGTAGTAAACAATTTAACACTTTTGACTTCTTCTCAAAAACCCCTGATCCAATTTCAGTGACATTTCTCAGAAACCTTCCCTGGCCTAAGATGAACCAAAATTGTGGATTATACAGTCCCCACCCACCAGAAGCCTGAAGGGCGGGGTCAAAAGGGGTCAAATTGACTCAGATTTCAAAAATCTTCTTCTGAAGACCCAGATATGGTAGAATCAAATACTTACCCCCAAGGTCTTGCATATTCGCATAGGGAGGGGGTAAAGTTTACTATAGTTTATATTGGAAAATAGGTTTTTGAGCATAATTTATTAAATTTCCATTGGAAATATTTCAAACTTGGTAAGAATTGTGAAGAGTGAAGAATGAAGGCTTGATAGTATGCCCATTTTGATCCTGACTGACCCCCAGGGGCTGATGGGCAAGGCCAAAAGGGGTCAAATTGACTTCAACTTCAAAAATCTTCTCAAGACCCAGATATGGTATAATCATGAATGGAAGCATCTCAAGGTGCTTTAAATACCAAAATGAGTCACACATTTCTTCCTTGGGAGGACTACTTATTTTAAACTCTTGTAATTTTCATAGAAAAATTGTATTTTTGAGCATAACGTTGGTTATGAATTATCAGTGTAGAATGACAGTTTTGATGGTATGCATGTCTTGACACTGTTTATGTTCAGTGGCAGAATTTCTGTTTCATGACACTTGATAACTATCCTTTAACCTTTACATTCAGTATTGCTTATCTCAGGTGACCGTCAAGGCCGCCGGGCCCCTTGTATTGTCTTGGTCGCGATTCCTAGTCAGAACCTTTCGACTTATTAGTCCAGGGCTATTCTGTGTCGGTGGTTGTGTGACGAAATGCCTATTAGTTGTATCAGTGTTGCGATTCTGGAACAGTGGTTTCAGTGTTGTCATTTCGCTTGTTGTTGAACGAAACAAAATGCACATTTGAAAGTCTTTGTAGGGGAAACAGTCGCTACACGTGCGTTGTTTGATAGGAGACGTCTCTAGTTTGGGAGAGATATATGGTATTCTGAAGATAAGTTGTAAAGTATGAGATGTCACTTCATTGATGTCTTTGATTCTGTTACATTTAGTGTTTAAATTTTATAAAATAAATGTAAAAAATAATTTGATGTAGTTGTTTTCATTGACCATCTGACACCAGTTGTTGATTGGCCTGATCGCTATTACGTCAATGGTCACGTGACCGTGATGCAGTCAGTAACAGAAAGCATGCCAAAACCTTGAATCATCACAATTTTAACTCTCTGAATAGTGCTATCTAATTCAGGAAAGTTATTATTTACAGAAGTAGGGAACTTCATAGGGAACTTGAAGACTCCTTATCTATCCCCAAGCTTTCTAAGAAGTTATATGATATGGATTTGATAGCAATTAAACACTCCTATATTTGCAACTAGCTATAACATGTTGTCGAGATGAAACACCAACTCTAATTGATCAATTCAGAATCCATGGTTTAGAAAAAGACTTGCCTATCTAAAAGAAAAAAAAGAATGATCATGTTAGGGCTGCTTTCAAAACAACGTTACACGCAACAACTAAGTTCAGAAAAGAAAAAAATATT